TTATTATTGTTTAAATTTCTTTTGATGGAAAAAGGTGCAGATATTACAATATTTTTTTCTTCCTTCAGCTGCCTTTCATTTTATTTTATTAGTCATTTGTATTTTTGTATGCTGAAATTGCTTCGTTTTTAAATTATATCAATGAATAAACTAAACTTAACTTACATTGTTGTCAAAATCACAGAACACAATTAAATTAAAGATTTACAAAACAGCATAAATATAAACTGCTATGATATTTTTCAGAGTGGATGTGTTTAAACTAAACAGTAAGGAAATTGGTTTGGTAGATTGTCACTGTTGTAACAATGTTTCATAGCAATAAATCCTGACTGGCAGYACCTGGGGGAACCAGAAGCAAAATAATCGAATGTCAATAGCAACAGCAAAATAAACTGTTTAGCAGAAGATTTGGCAAAWTTTTCAAATGCACATCCCACATACTCAGCTCTGCTGCTCATCCCATAAATGCCTAACCAACAGGCTTTTCAACAGTATAAGATTTATTGCCAAGATGCATTGTTACAACAAAGAAATCATCCACCAAACACAAATTTACTTAATTTTGTGTTAAGTATAATATAATTTCTCCAAACTAGGGTCAATCAAAAAGCTATCTACAACAGGTAAGATATTGTTTAGCACCTTTTAAACAGATCCACACTTTGAAGAATGTGACTCGTCCCTTTAAGCTACTGGAGGACAAAGCTAACCATCTAGCAGAACACATGTATGAATCACAGAGTCAGTCAATGAACAGTATAGTGCTCTGTTTAAAGGGCCACGAGGTGCTTAAAAATAAATAGTACTAAGTTACATTTGTAATGCAAAGTGTAAACCACACGCATCCATTTAATATCACACACGTAACCCGCGTAAGCTGCCGAAAGGAAAATATAGATTTAACATTTAACTGCACACATTAATTATGCTCTTAAGGAGGAGAAATTTCTYTCACTCCACTTCTCTGAAACGGCGCCAAGTCTACCCTTCACAACTATTATTGCTTGCTTCTTGAAACTATATCCTTGTGTGATGATATGCTCCCAGGTCGTCATTAAAAGCAGTAAAGGTAGTGGTGTGTTACATTACAATCAGAACAGTTGTAGGTCTTGCTCAACAGCCCTTCTCTTCATTAAAAGTTAGTTAATTGACGGTGAACTGGATCTACTTGAGGAGAAGTAATGAGCTGGGAGGGAAGGTCAGGTTCCGTGAATCAGCACTGATCTTGGTAATTAATTTAGGAATCATGAAAAACCGAATTACTGCCAGAAGGAAGATTATTTTGTAACGTTTGCTTGAAATTGCCAAAGTTCAGCTCAGTTGCTGGAGTTGAAACTTTACTGATTTATAATCTCTGATAAGATCCCGGTACCACGCCTACCTCCTATGATGCAGTGGAGTTTGGAGGAGAATGTGCAGAATATCAGTTAATTACATTTTACAACATTTAATAACTATTAAAAGACTTGCAACTTGTCCAGAGTGAGCCCAGCCTCTCAGGCAGGACTGTGGACAAGCACCTCAGCAGTCCCTGACCTGGAAAGGAGAAGTGGTTAAAAAAGGATGGATGGATGAATGGGTAAAATAATTATTTTAACGTCTCTTAAGCCCCCAACAACCCCAGTACTGTGACCAGATTTTTGCCCCTATTTTTCTGCAATTAGGTTTAGAGCTTCCATGTGTTGTTTATATA